GTCCCAGTCCCATGCTCTTCACCACTACGCCCCACTGGCTCTATCTCTCCCAGTAGCCAAAGCTCGCTTTTGCAACGCAATCCCACTTCTTGTGCTGATCAGGTTAATTCAGGGGCGTGGAAGAAGGCTCTGTGAATGCCAGTCTGCCTTTGAGCATCTTTCTTGGTACTTGCCGAGGTGCCTTGACCCTCCCACTTTCAATAAAAAGTCCTTCTCACTGGCAACCTGGGTTGCTTCAGGGCAATGCAAGGCCCGCAGCTGCTGCCAGCTTGATTTTCCATTAATGCCTCCACGGCAGACACGAGGCTCAGAGACATTACCTGGCCTCAGGTAGCTCAACCCTTCTGTCTCATAAGCCACGCCCACCATGGCAGCCACTTTTGGGTAGGGCCCAGGACTGCCCTGGGTGGCCACTGGCCCAAACTGGTCACACACCTCTGCACTAGTTCATGCTCTGGTGCTAGTGCAACCCCTCATGAAACCACACCAGAGTTTGCACATTTTTTTCACCAGTGTTAAACTAGATGCACCCCCATTTGGGCGTAGAGCAGGGCATATTGGCTCAGGTGATCCAGGACAACATCTTTGCTTATATATTTAAGGCAGAAGCCCCTGATCAGAGCCCCCAGGGTCCCGGGTTCGATTCCTGACATCTCTGGGTGTGGCTAGGAAAGAAAGAGAGTCATTGCTGCCAGTCAGTGCCAACAATAATGGGCTACAGGAACCTGTGATCTGACTCCCTACAAATCAGCAGCTTTCTATCCAGGACCATGAGAACTAGGATTTTTAGAGGAAGGGTCATGGCTAAGTCACAAAGCACCGATTTTGCAGGCTCTAGCTCTCTGCTTTGATCCCCAGCTTCTCCCTTGAGGAGAGAAAGGAATCCTGGAGAGTGGCTGCCAGTCTGTGCTGGCAATACTGGGCTAGATGGACCCGGGTCTGACTTAAGGTAAGGCAGCTTCCTAGGTTGCTACCAAAGCCTCTGGGGGGCCCAAACTGTTCAGCACCTGCCTTCTATAGATAAGAGAAGGAACAGACCTAAAAGACAGTATGGCTTCCCTCCTCCTTCCCTCTCCGGTCCTCCCCTCCTTTGCCTTCCTTCCTCGTGCCACACAAGGTACAAGCAGGAGTTTTATCTAGTGATGCCAAAAGAGACTCCTGTTTCCTCTTCCCCCAGGAAAGTGAAGCACAAACTGGATTGACGTGTCATGGGAGCAGCTTTCCCTGAGCTGAGGCCAAGAATGTTTTGCAAGGGTTGCTTTTAGCTTCTTACACGGACACATCGTGCAGGGTCTGGATAGGGTCACAGGGATGGATGCCCTCTGAATGTGGGATCTCGGCAATGGCAGGAAAGATTCGCAGAGACCAGCTAGACCAGGGATGTCAACACATTCTGGTCAGACGGGGTTGGGTACACACAGTGGATTTTGGAAAAATCCCTTGGAAAAATCCGTCAAAAAATGGTGCCGGAACACCGTTCTAGTGCGTTCTATGACAAAAAAAAAGCCCTGGGTACACAAGCAATTTCTAGATTGCTAAGATCCTCCAGACATCGTCTTGGTCCTCATCTTTTCATAAAGGTCTTCCCATTTTACCAGTGTAAAAGGAATCACACTTTAAACACCCAGTTGTGTAAATAACAGTGCCACACGTTCCCTTACCTTCAACGTGACCCGGACCTTCCTGTTAGGATCTGAGCTTGAAGTGACCGATCGAGAGTTGTGGTGGACAGCTGGATGAAAATGTCGCCTCCGTGCACGGCTGCTGTGAAAAAAGCCAACTCTGCGTCAGGCATAATTAGGAAAGGGATTGAAAAGGGATTATGCAATGACTCTGCAACCTCGCTTCGAATATCGTGTACAGTTCTGGTTGCTGCACTGGAGAAAGAACTTTACCGAGGGGAAATAAGGAGCAGAGAAGGCCAGCTGAAAAGCTCGGGGGGCCAAAGCGACTTCCCTTGTGAAGAATGACTACCGTGCCTGGAATCACTCAGCTTATAAAAAAAGCAAATCAGGGGAGACAAGATAGATTCAAAATTATGCATGGAGTGGAAAAAATGGAGAGAGAGAGAATGTTCTTTCTCTCTCATAATATTGGAACTCCATGGAGTCGTCCTCCCATGTATAAACAGTGGACTGAAGCCATAAATATGCTTTCAAGATTACAGACATACAGATGTTACTCTCAAATGACATACCTAGGATATTTACCCTGCCTTTGTTGAAGGTTATCGACAACTGTCACAGCTGGATTTATTTACATACATGCAATTGTTCATTCGGGGAGTGGAATTTTAATTTTTTATTTATTTAAAAATGTTAGTGGTGAAATTCACAAGAAAAAGCGAATGAAAAATTACAAGAGGGTATTGTGAACGGGCAGGTTTTCCCCAGCATGCCAGCTAATTACAAAATTCGGCAGCACCACTAATTGTAACTTTGAAGGACAAAAGGCAACACAATCCTGACACTAATTTAGGGACATCAAATTTTTTTCCATCCGTGGTGGCAGCCGCGTCTTGGCACATCCTGGGAGTTACACCCAGTCCTTTCCGGAGAGGAGTGGATTCGCTTTTAAGCCACTTTGAACCCACAGGTGTTTAAAAGGATTGTCAACAGAGGGGCGGGGTAAAATGAAGTTTCCCTTGGAGTCTCCCTTCTAATAACCGAGTGACCTGAAGAGTCATTTTGACATTCCAAACAAAGAAACCGTGTAGAAGCTACCAATTATAAGCCTGGCATTCTGGTGCCAGAATCAAAAAGGCTCTTAGCTGGGCTGACAGCTTTATGAAAAGCACGTCCTGCAACAAAGGGGTGCAGGAACAGAATATGTGTAAGCCGGAGGAAGCGGAAGAGGGCTCTGCAAAGGCTTGTAGGGCTGGCACACAGAGGAGGGCAAACGCTTGAACTCCGCCACCCCAGAATGCTCAGTTGAGGGTGCATATTCGGAATGCTCTTCCCACGGAGATTCGCCTGGCTCCCTCCTTACTTTCTTTTTGGAGCCAAGCAAAGACCTTCCTTTAAAAAATAGTTCAGTAACTAATGACATTAGACCTTTGTTTTGAATTTTTTTGGCTTGTACTTTATTGTTATTTTTATTGTGATCTTGGTTTTTATTATGTTTTTATTGTGGTTTTATCTTGTGGTTGTGAGCTGCCCAGAGGTGCTGTGGCACAACTGGGAGGTATACAAATGTTTAAAATGAATAAATATATATATATATATATTTTTTACATGGTATGCAGAAAAATGGTCCACAACGGCTATGTGGGACATGCTGGGAGCTGTTCTGCCAGAACATGCGTAGAATTGTGCCTTTCACTGGCTTAATTTGCAGGGGGTTGATTTTGGATCAACGTGAGAAGAAATATCTCAGACATTGGAGCCGATGTCCTCAGTGGGCTGGGTGGTGGGGAGGTGTCCCCTGGGGGCCCTCTTTATGCTGAGGCTGGACAGACATCAGTTCATGATAGTCTCCTTCTGGATTTCCAGCATCAAGCTGGGGTTCAGGCTAGATCCAAATAGGTATAAAGAAGATCCAGATGTGCTGGTAGAAGTCCAACGGATTTGCAAGGATTTCTGTGGAAACTGACAAATTCTCCCAAGCATATTTCTCCTGCATGATCCAAAGAGAGCAATGAATCATGCAGGGGTGGAACAGAGGATATGATGCTTGCAAAGCCCTTCAATTATTTCATGAATTTATGTCTGCCGGCACCAAATTGGAGCATTATCAGTCCACGTCGACTAGTTCCAGCAAGCGGCTTAATAGGAGCTCCAAGCTGAGCTCGCCCCTAGATGGAATGTTCCCCCCCATTTTAAAATGCACTTAATTAATGTAACTGCAGCAAGGAAAACTTCAAGGATCGTCCCAAGGCAGCCCCATCGCCTGAATCCTTTGGCAGCCGTGGTTCCCAAGGGAGCTTCCAGGACCCTGCCCTCGCCCGGGCTTGGGTGCAAAAGATCTTGCAGGCAGGCGCAGAGGCTCACATGACCATCTTTAAGGGCACAGAGCAATTGCTGGAGGTCTCAGCCGGAGAGAGGTCTTTCCCTTTCCAGGTCTCTGGAGTGATGGAGACATCAAGGAGCTTTGGTAAGCCATATAAAAGAGGTCCCCTAAGAAGGAAGGTCGTAATGCCCAGGATGGCTTAGCTTAGAAAAAAGGCAAGTAAAGGCAGAGCTGATAGAGGTGTTTAAAACGATGCACAGTGCCAACAAAATGAGTCAGGAGACACCATTCTCTCTCCCGGAGGATGCATTCACTGGGGAGTGAGCAAAACGGGGATCTTCCTTTATTTTTAGGGGACGGAGCATTGCTTAGCTGCGCAAGGTCCCCAGTTTGATCCCCACAAGCTCCAGGAAAGGCAGGAAAAGCTCCTGCCTGTACCCCAGAGAGCTGCTGCTGCCGGCCCATGTTGGCGATACAGGGTTAGACGGATGCCCAGTGGCAGCCACAGCATCCCCATGGTGGCCACTGCCTGCTGAGAATGACAGGCACTGCAGTCCAGAGGCACCAGAGCAAAATGTTTGCTTCTACTCCAGCAGTGACATCTTATTTCTCGGGCAATTCCTCTTGTGGATTATTTTTGTTTTTCCCTTTAAAAGGCAGCAGTGGAAATAAGACAGGCACACAGGATCCCACTGTGAAGTGGAAAGGGCCACGAGCCAAGGAACTATCTGATTTATCAGTCCGCAATCTCGGGTGAAAGATCAGTGATCAGAAAAGGTGGGGGAAACCTCACACTTAACTAATAAGTTACTAGTCATCTGCTCAGTACCTATTTCAGGGCTGGAGCAGAATTTTGCTCCTTTGACAGCTGCTGCTAAGGGGTGTGGAGGAAACAAGGAAGTTTGAAATGGGACAGGATCATAATTGCAGATTCTAGCTGGAAGAATTAAAAGGGGGAGGCGTCCCCGTCCTCCTTCACATGGTCAGGAAAGGTGACCTGGATCTGCCTTCCTCCTGTATAAAAACTCTGGAGGAGGTCGGCAGGCATGTAGTCACGGGGATCCACATCAGGGCCTCGTCTTCCCAGCCCATCTGGAGGAGAGATCATGAGGTCGCTGTACTGTTTCATCCTGCTCTCCCTGAGCGCATTTGCAGCAGCTTCGAAGGGTGAGTTTTTCATATCCATTTTCTCCCCCCCCCCCCCCTTAAGACTCAGATGCACTGGCAACAATTCTGGCTGGGTACTAAAAGCAATAAAAATTAATGCATACATATCTACCTATCTGTCAGTGAATACATATTATTCCTCATTTCAGTTTGCATGCTTTGAATGAATTCTGTTCTTGCAGGAATGCTCAGGTTTCTAACAGGGATGGTTGGTTGGAAAAGACAGGAGTCCGAGAATATTACTTGCAATGGTATGCCTTGATTTCCAATTCAGTTGTCCATATGAGCCAGCCGTACCTACTTTTTTCCTCTTCGGATTATGTTGTGCTGTGATAATTTGTGTTGCATCAAATTCAGGAGGGAGGGAGGGAGGGAGGGAGGGAGAGAGAGAGGGAGGGAGAGAGAGAGGGAGAGAGGGAGAGAGGGAGAGAGGGAGAGGGAGAGGGAGAGGGAGAGAGAGAGAGAGAGAGAGAGAGAGAGAGAGAGAGATTTTTCTTATGCTCTCAAATCTCCCCCTTGATTCTCTCTCTTCAGTTTACCGATGATCAAACTAGACTCTCTTGATCATTGTAGCAGGGAAGCTGCATAGCTTAGTCATAAAATGCAAGCTTGGCACGCAGAAGCTCCCAGTTCAGTGTGTGGCACCTCCAGCTGAAAGATGCAGGCAGCAAACCTGCTTTCTCAAAGACCCTGAGCAGCTGCTGCCAGCCAGGGTGAACAGCAGTGGCCTGGATGAGCAGACTAGTGTGGCACAGTGGAAGTGGAGTTCTCGCCTTCCCGGCAATCACATCTGCGATGAGTTGACACCATATTTTAGGGGCCACTTCATTCTCTGGAAAGTGGGCATGGACTTTGTCCTCAAGAAGAGACACCGATGTGGGGTGCTTAGGGGAGCTGCAACTTAGCCAGACTGCTCCTAAAATTTCACAGCAGTGATATACGGAAGACTTGGGGTGGGAAAAGCCATGAACCCTGTGGCACCTTGCAGACTAACAATCCTTCTCTGGCCTTTGTCATGTGGACACTCTCCACCACCCCACCCTCCTCTCAGAAGACCCCAAAGTATTTAATTTTGAGCAAAACATCTGGCCAGCTTTCCAGCATCACTGAATGAAAAGTTGGCTGCTAAGCTGGGGAAATGGGTTTTTGCAGGCAGGTCGGCCATGTCTGAACTGAAGAGATTCAGTTAAATAGCACAAGTCTTTCGCATAATTTCCCCCCTCAAATTTTATCTTTCTGTATCAGTACTGTTTTGAAAATGGCAAAGGAATTCAGGAATGTTTTTCTTGGATCAGGAATAAGAAATTCTGACTACATATCCTATCTTCTTGTCAATACAATCCTGGCAGTCACGCAAGGGAATATCTTCCAAATACTGATATAAGGTTATAAAATAAACACCATTTTTTATGAAGGAGCAAAGTGCTGAGAGGATCACACAGACCGGTAATCTCAGAGGCTGGGGAGAGAGCGAGGGCTGATTTCTACCATCGGCTTGTGCTCTCATATAAGGCAACCTTCTGATGCAGAAGCATCCGCATGTGAAAAGACAAGTCTCCTGCACTTATTTTTAAAAATTTGTTTTAAGTGCACATAGCCCAGTTTTTAAAATAACAACTTCCGCCTCAAGCAGTTCCCAAAAACCTCCAAGAGTTAGAGATCCATCACATCTCAAAAAGAAGCCAAAGCATATCAGCGTAAAGCTCCAAGATGACAGCCAAGGAACATGTACATAAGCCACGGCTGACGACGGCATCTTTTTTCTTAGGTCATCTGTCAATGCAATTGGAAGCTGCAGCCCCCAAGCCACAACATTTCAGAAATCCAGACCTGAAAGAAGCACACTCTACACAACACACACACACGTCACAGCATCATTTAGGCTAACCCCTTCCCTTGAGCCATGAGGACTAGAGGCATTTCAATGGAAGCCAATGCTGCCCATCTTTGCCTCGAAGCAATCATTTTAGTGGGTACCCAAAACTTCCCTAAAATTTCAGTCTCTCCAAATCCATGGGGAAGTGGCCGGGTGAACACCATAAACTTTTGCTGCCTTTTGTCATTCTTCTACACTGTAACAACACTGGTGGGTGAACCTTGCCATACAAGCATTTGACACAAGCAAACATTAACTAATGACCATGAAAGGGAAGCATGGCGAAAGTGCAGGCCAAGTTACCAGCTTGGAAGAGTCATGGGCTTCCTGCCTTGGGGAGGCTGCATCAGACACGGGACCGGGTTCGATTTCTGGTCGCGCTTCAATGTAAAAGGCTTGCCGTTGTTTCGTAAGAAAGACAGGGACATCCCTGTGAGAGCAGGAGGAAATCCCTGCTGGATTAGACCCAGAGCCCACCTGTCCACGGGAAACCCTCAAACAGGACGGGGGGGGGCACAGCCCCCTGCCCGTGTCCCCCAGCAAAAGGGGCCACTTCTGGTTCTGGAGGTATCCTGTGGCCACGGACGGCCTCGGCCTCCTCCTCCTTCTCCAAGGATTTCCAAATGGGTGCCCAGCCCTCCTCCTCGTGGAAGTGAATTCCCTCATTTAATCCCACATGGTGGTTCCCTCTTTTCCGAGTCTCCTGTCACATGGCTCTACGGAGTGACTCCAAGGTCTAGGATTTTAAGCGAGGAAGGAAAACATTCCCGTTTCCTTTCTCCATGCCATACAGGATTGTGTGGCCTGCTCTCACGCTGCCCCTTGCTTGCCCTTTTCTTCTAGATGAAGCCCCTACTATTTACGTATTCATTTATTTATTTAAAGCTTTTCTGTACTGTCCTCGTTACCAAAAGTCTCAGGATAGTCCTACAATAAAAAAAGTAAACTGGGGTGCCCCCACAGAGAAGGCCCTTCTCTGGGTAGCCACTCTCCTAATCTCCTTCAAAGAGGGCTCCCAAAGAAGGACCTCTGTCCCAGATCTTAAGGGGCGGGCAGGCACATAGGCAAGGAGATGCTCTTTCGGCTATCCAGGATATCCAAATATTGCACTCCCTCCCTCTGTGGGCAATGCTTCAGCTCCCTCTTCCTTTTGCTCACACGTTTCTGGACACTCCCCAGCTCAGCGGAAATTCCAGCCGTGAGGCAAGAAACGTGCCAATGAGGGGTGAAGTTGAGCGGCTGCAAATTCGGGGAAGGTTTGGGGAGGGGAGGGCAGCAGATTTCCTGGTGGGAGCAGCAGACGCTGGGGCTTCCAATACCAGGGGGTGGTATATGCACTCCAGGCTTCAGCCTGAACCTCGAATTGCCACCAGAACCCCAGGGGTTAAAAAAAAAAGATTCAGAACCCCGGAGAGCTCCTGCAAAGTTTGCCTTCTAGGGAAGGAGTGCTTTGTGACTGGGGCCACCGACTGCCAACTCTGGGCCCCAAAGTGGGCAACTGTCACTCCTACAAAAGGGGCTACGAAAAAGAAAAGACGCACAAGGAGGCTTCTAGGCAACGTTTGGTTCACCAGCCACAGCCAGTGTAAAGTTCGTCTGGTCCTTTCTTCCCTGAGTTTGCATTCCGCTTGTGGTAATTATAGTTAATGTGTGAGCCGAGTCTTCTCCCCACAGACCCATCCCTTTTTCTCTCATCCTTGACCCCATATTGCACTTGGCTCGTTAACAAGCAGAAGTTTTCCTTCTGCAGAAATGCTGAGTTGAGACTTGCAGGCAGACTCTCCTGCGTTCGCTTGCCCTGACACACGCCACGTTCTGCTCTCCCGGTTTCTCTCAAACTGAATCGCCGTCCTCCTCTTCTCCCTCCTGGGAACACATTAGTCAGGCCTTATCAGGAATTGCATGTCCAATTCTGGCTGCCACATTGCAGAAACATTGAAAGAATGGATTCCAAGGAAGTCGGGGCTCTGGAGCTAAAAAAAGCTCTTCCAGGGAAGGGTGAAGCCTATGGGGTGGATAGAAAAGCACTCTCCAAAAACTTGAAGGGCAGGCGTATCAGAACTAAATAATCTAGTGGGATTTATTTACAGCAGATTGCAAGCTTAACTGGTAGATCTCCAGGTCATTTCTAAGAGTTTCTGAGTCCTGATACTTTTAACAAGAACAGGGAAAAGTGCACAGGAAAAATTACTCTGTGTTCCTCATCTGTAAAAAGGGAGCACTACCGATCTTGGTTGCCTTTGGTCCAGCCTTTGTCCAGCTCTGTTCAGCAGTTTTAAGGAAAGTGTTAGGATATGATTCGTGGGGCGAAGTTCAAATCTGAGCCACTTGGTGTTTGGCTCCAGAGGGTAGACCTCAATGTCCTAGCAAAACCTCAGAGTTAATCCCGTAAGCCTGGATCCTGTTTCACCAAGGCTAAGCAAGCAAATCAGGAACAGAGCAAAGAAGTCAGGGGTCAGGCGCTCCCTTGGTATGGCTTTTCAAGGAGAGGCTGATCAATTGGAGCTCCAGTTTTCTCGAGCCAGGAATTGGGGGTGGGTTGGATTAAATGGCCTACAATGCCCCACGCAACCTGGGCTTCCTCTCTTTGTTCCTGGACCTGTAAGGCTGCATTTGGCTGCTTCCTCTGGATCACTGGAAGTTGTACCTTGAAGCCAGGCTCCATCTGCATGAATGTGAACATGTGCAAAATGGAGGAATCAGTGACAAATAACCAATCATAGTTTGCTAGCCACGCACAACCTACAGTCCACAACCATGGGTTCTCTTCATGGGCTGTTTGTGGGTAACAAACCATGGTTTCTTATCGCAGCTGGGTTCAGACGGCAGGACAGCCCATGGATCAGCAACTGCCCATGGGTCGATGACAAAGCACATTCCGTCCATGCGCAGCCCTTCAAGAACAAAGACAGATACCAAAGCGAACTCCTCCCTGCGGCTTGTGACACAAGGAAGGGTGTCAATATCTTAGAGACAGACCTTGGCTTCTTATTAATGGAACAAAAGGGAGAGAGAAAACTTATCTACCCACCATTGTTTGAGGTTGCTACAGAGACACCCTGCCCAAGTACCGGGTCACAGAAGCAAGGAAACGGAACCAGCAAAACACCGTTTCACTGATGTT